GGGGAGGGGCTCTGTGAGGGGGGTTTGGGGGAGGGGGCTGGTTGTGAGGGGAGGGGCCGTGAGCAGGGTCTGCTCCGCGCTGCACCACCTCCCCACTCACGTGTTGCATGTCCGTCTGCAGGAGATCCGCAAGGTGGTGCAGACCCTGGAGCAGACAGCAAGGGAGATCCTCACGCTGCTGCAGGGGGTGCACCAGGGCGCCGGCTTCCAGGACAGTAAGTTGCCCATGGTCGGTGGGTTTGGAGCGAGGCGGGAAGGACAAGAGAGGATCAAAACAGACCCTCAGGTGGCTCCATATACCAGCAAATATTTCGGTTCAACCTTGAGTCCCACCAGTACGTTTGTCATATCAAGTAATTATAATAAATCTGTTAATGCACACCACTGACGGGTTGTCTGCGTACCATTGGTGGTACCCGTACCACAGATTGGGAGCCGCTGGTCTAGAGGCAAAAGGAATCAGAACTTGTGGAAAAGGCAATATTTTGTATTAGACCAACCAGATATTTGCAAGCAAATTATTTTATTTATTTGCAAGCTTTCGGGCACGCTTGCCCTTCATCGGGCATAGGAGAGATCAAGAGTGTAAAAGTTCTCCTAGGCAGAAATGAAAATTTGTATTTCACAGGAGAGCTGAAAGTGTGGTAAAATCTCCTGTTTGGAGCAGTTCATTTTATCTCTGTGCCTAGCGTGGCCCAGTGGTTGGCAACCTCTGGCCTAGAGCAGTGGTTTTCAACCCACGGTCTGCGGATACTGTGGGTCTGCAGACTGTGTGTAAGGGGTCTGCAAAAGATGACTATGTTCAGTCAAAAGTATGTGACACTTACCATTCAGAGAGGTCTGCAGGTCCATTCCAGTATTTTTAGGGGTCTTCCAATGAAAAAAGGTTGAAAACCACTAGCCTAGAGTTGACATCCTTTGTACTTCTATAGAGGCAAACTAGTCTCATGGAGGACACTGGTGTGTGACCATCAGGAAACTACGACCCTAGAGTTATTAGACTGTTCTCAACAACATGCAACACCCCGCTGTGAGGTGTGGTGGCTATCAGCTGAGAGATGCTGAGTTATGGTTTTGCAGTCTGCATAACCAAAGTGGTTAGTCTCTTAGCAGCCTGCTCTTCTTCTCTCAGGAAACTCATTTGTTTCCTGAGTTTCAGGAGTTTATGCCATGGCAGGTTTATCTCCTTCCTAGGAATAGGACTCACTCAGACATGTAGAGAAATTACCATCCGCCCCTTAACAGTGCTATCCTTGTGCTTGCTTTTCTTTTTATTTCCCATTGTCGCATCTTCTTTTGGGCCACTGGACTAGGGCAAGTCCTGGGGGTGTATCTTCCTTCATGTATTTGCTTTCTGGATTGGTGAACTGGATCACACATGCTCTGGAACCGGTACATCAGTAGATTCTTCTACTCTGCCTGTTGCAGTCCTGAGCTGACCTAACTCGCTGTGTGAGACAGGCCTGCATGGAGAAACAGCGTTGTGCTTTTTAGGAGGAAAAGACTATTTTGAATTACCTTAGTCACTTTGAACAGCACTTTTGACACAAAATCTAAGTTGATCTGCTGAGAACAATGTAAAGGGAAGTTACCAGCTTGTGTCTATAAAAGAAAAACTGAATTCCCTGAGTGGATATGTTTTTGTATCTGTGGTTTTCCTGAGCTTGAAGTTACTGGAATGGGCATGTTCTCATTTGCATAAAAGTGACTAAGTCACTTGTCCGTTTGGTGATATGATTGACCTTTGAAGAGGAGTGACCCATTCTGATTCACTAAGAAGCTTCAATAGGGAGAAACCAGCCAGGCTGCATCAGAAGATGCATAAAAGGAAGAATCAAGGTGTGTGCCTTGTTTTGCTTGTAGTAGTGACTGTCTTGTCTTCTGCTGTGGCTCTTGGTGGCTGGCCTCTGGCCAGGCAGTGCCACCATGCCTGGGATGGAGGTCTGTCCTTCCTGCTTCAGCCAGACTTACCCATCAGCGGCCAGTTTTCGACACTGAGATTGGCCATCTATAGGCTCTAGTAACTTCTAGCAATCCAGCAAACACACCAGTGTTAAATAGTTGAGCTATAATAAGATCAGTGGCTGATTTCTTTGACCATGCACAGAGCTCCTGAAGGGTGAATAAAACCACAAAAGTAGTGACAGCCATTGTGCAGAAGGCTCAGCCTCCTTAGGGCTGTGTTCCAATTTTGATTAGTAAAGAGATGCCTGTCTCAGTACCTTTGCTTCTGTTTCTGCACATGCTCATTAGCATTTTCAGCCAGAGTTATCCAGATATGGGAACAGAATCCACGTAGGAGTTTTCAAATACTTAAAATCAGCCTGCCGTAAACAGCCTTGCTGTGTAAAAGATCACATGGTTAGGGCAGGGCTGACCAAATTCTGAGCAGTCAGTTATACCACCACCCCCTGCTATACCACCCTGCCCAATCCCATCCCCAGAAGTGTAGGCAGGAAGCAGAAGCTGCAGAAGGGATGGGGCGGTAGGTGATCCTGGCAGCAGGAGAGATGGAGGGAACTGCAACTGGGTGAGAGTCTGTGGACTGCAAACTGAAGACTTGTGGGCTGTGCAGTTGAATGGCCCTGAGTATTAACTAGCTCCAGGGTGGTCCCAACCCTGGGATTGCACTGGTACATCTTGGCTTTCCCCTACTCCATGGGAGCTCTGGGGTAGGGGTGTAAATATCATTTTAAAAACTATTCATTTAACCTCTAATTATATCAGTTAAACAATTAAGCAGTAATTCAGCAGCTCAAACACAGCTGCTGCTAAGAGTTGCTCCAGGCTCCCAGGGCCCTTTGACTGGGGGAAGAGGGGACTAGGCAAGCGCAGCCAGACAGCACAGCCCAGGTGAAGCCCTGGACTAGGAGGAGGGGACACCTGTCAGCCAGCAGCAAATTGCTTAATTGATGAGTCACAGGCTGCTTGCTGTTTTCCTCTTACTGCTCCTTCCTCCTGCCTGTCCTGCTGCCTTCTGATTGCTGCTGGGGCACCCCTGGAGTAGGGATGTGAATTAATCATTAATCAATTAATCATTTAACTGATGAGTGCCACGATAACCTGGTAGCTTCTAGTTATCCTTTAGCTTGGACGGGGGCATAGTCTGGCAGGGGAGGGAAGCCCTGGGGTACTGATCTGCTTCATTTGGCAGTATCTCTTTCTAGCCAGTGATAGTGTTAGAGCTGTAGTTTATGTTTGCATGCTGCAGGTGGCAGTAAGTAGCACATAACTGAGCTTGAAAATCTGTTTCTTTTTCTAAAATCAGACCTTGACAGCTACAACAACACACTAGCCCCACTGTTTCTGATTAATAGTTACTGAGATTTATTAACCATCTTGGACCTAACCATAATTTGAAATGTATTTCTTTCAAATATATGAAATAGAAGGGGTTGCTGAAATGCGTAGAGCTTGTCACTGACTGTTAGCCCTTGGGCTAGTTATATTTCTTTTCCATCCCACAGTGTTGCCAACTCATAATTTTTGGTGTTGTTTTTAATGTCTATGCTTCAGGAATGTGAAAAATTTAGCTCTTTCTTTTATCTATGTATATTAGATGGGGTGTAAATATCATTTTAAAAACTATTCATTTAACCTCTAATTATATCAGTTAAACAATTAAGCAGTAATGCAGCAGCTCAAACACAGCTGCTGTTGAGAGTTCCTCCAGGCTCCCAGGGCCATTTGACTGGGGGAAGAGGGGAGTAGGCAAGTGCAGCTGGACAGCACAGCCCAGGTGAAGCCCTGCACTGGGAGGGAGGGGGCACCTGAAATATGTAGCTCTTTTATCTATGTATGTTAGATAAAAAAAAAAAGACCTAAGTTTTTCACATTCCTGAACCATAGACATTAAGAACAACACCAAAAATCGTGAGTTGGCAATACTGAGATTCCCATAGACTTACTGTATTTGGAACAGAAAAAAAGAGTTTGTCTACCTTTCAATACAGTGATCTAAATTTTTGCTGCAGCTGACCTACAGGCTGGGGGACTCCCTTCTCGTCAGTGCAGAGGCAGAAAAGGATCTTGGAGTCAGCATTGATGCCAAGATGAATGTGGGCGGGCAGTGTGGGGATGCAGTCAGGAAGGCCAACCATAGCTTGTCATGCATCCACAAATGCATCTCAGGCAGGTCCAAGGAGGTGATCCTCCCCCTTTATGTGACACTGATCAAGCCGCAGCTGGAGTACTGCGTCCAGTTCTGGGCGACACACTTCAAGGGGGAAGTGGACAACATGGAGAGGGTCTAAAGGAGGCCACTCACATGATCGGAGACAGCAGGGCAGGCCCTATGAGGAGAGGCTCAGAGACCTGAACCTGTTCAGCCTCCACAGGAGAAGGCTGAGGAGGGATCTAGTGGCCTGTTACAAACTAGTCAGAGGGGACCAGCAGGCATTGCAGGAGTCCCTGTTCCCCTTAGCACTACCAGGAGTGACTAGAAATAACTGTCACAAGCTGGCAGAGGGTAGATTCAGACTAGACATCAGGAGGTGTGACTTCACTGTCAGGGCGGTTAGGATCTGGAACCAACTTCCAAGCGAAGTGGTGCTGGCTTGTACCTTGGGGGTCTTTAAGACAGGGCTTGACAATCACCTTGCTGGGGTCATTTGACCCCAGTACTCTTTCCTGCCATGGCAGGGGGTCGGACTTGATGATCTGCTCAGGTCCCTTCCGACCCTGCTAACTGTGACCTGAAATAGAACAGTATATATTAATTGAATTTGTAGATACAAAACTGAGTCCAGCACTTGGCCCTCTAGTTACTAACATTGAACTTGCTTCTTTTTTCAGTACCAAAGAAGTGTCAGAAGGCCCGGGAACATTTTGGTGCAGTAAAAACACAGCTGGCCTCTTTGAAGACCAAGTTCCCTGCTGATCAGTACTACAGGTTGGTCATATCTTCTGTAAACGGAGTTATTTGATACTGCACATGGGTATTCTATATTTTAACTGAAAAAAAGAACATTCTCAAGGTTTTGGGGCCCAACATTTTTTTTTCTCACTTCTCAGGTAAAGCTGTTTAAACAAGTAATCTTCAAACCTGTTTAGATGAAAGTAGCTGGTGGTCCAAATATTCCTTTTTGGAAGAAAAACCTGGATGATTTTCTGTGTTTAAAAAAAAAAAAAAAAACGAAACACATACGCCGTGTTCTCATATCGTCCCTTTTCCTCCCTTCACTAAAATCCATTTGAAAACTGCTTCCTTCCCTCCTGTCCCTCCCCCACCATGTGCACATGGCATACATTTCTTGTTTAAAGGGGAAAGGGGAAACCATATTATTTTGGAGCAGCTGTAATCATGGGTCTTACTGCTAGGATTGAGGAGTGTCTATTCTGTTAACTTCATTTACAGCTGTTGGGGTTCTGGCATTTCTGAAAGCCAAGCCCTGAATCTGTCAGGAGTTGTCCACCTGACTCAGATCTCCAAACTGAGCCTGTCATTTTGGGGTTGTGTTTGCTTTCCCTGCCAGGAGGGCATCTCCTCTGAGAGCATTTCAGAGAGCGCAGATCCTGTCACTTTCAATACACTGCCAACTTGCAGGAGTTTTGACCACTGGAGGATAGGAAGACAGGGGCCAAACAGTCTGACAGCTTTGTTTGCACGTCTGCTCCTCCCAAAACCAGTCACCAATTCAACAGGCTGAGGATGCTATTATAAGCCAATCCAGGGGTGGAAATTTTTGATTGTCAAAGAAACAATTTGTGTTTCCAACTGTCATCTTCTTTGCTTTTGACAAGCGTATCGCACGTAATCTGCAATAGATTGCATATAATCTCCAACGACAGAACATACAAAAATGTGTTTCTGTCCTGCTTGTGTGTGTTTCAACAGGTTTCATGAACACTGGAGGTTTGTGCTACAGCGGCTGGTGTTCCTGGCAGCATTTGTGGTCTACTTGGAAACTGAAACATTAGTCACTCGAGAAGCTGTTGCAGAAATACTTGGAAGTAGGTTAACCCTTGCTGCTTTAAATCTAGTTGAAGTTTTGAAGGTGGTTGTTGTCTTTTATTGGTAGGCTTGTATTTGGTGCATATCTATACAACCCAGTAATTAAATATGAGTAGAAATCTCTCTTTGGGAAAATGCAAACCAGAATTTTTTTTAAAGGAAAAAAACATTAGACTATAAAACCAGTTAAAACCTTTAGATCCTAAATTTACATGGTTTTAAACCAAGAAAATCTAAATATAGCAAAGATATGCATTATCCTCTGTTCTCCTATTTTTGTTTTTAATGGTAAACAGATGATTGAGTTACTGAATGTAGTGTTATGGAGCTGCGGTAGGTAAACACAGAACAGGGGAAAGCTAAATTTAACAATGGAAAATGGTTGTCTGTAGTAAAAGATAACTTGGGTGACGCTTATGGATTGAATGGCAGGTATCATGTCTCTTATAGAGGATGTATCTAGTGTTACACCGGTACAACCAAGAGCAGTAGTCATAACATCATGTACAGGGAAAGAACAAGCCACGATATTGCCATAAGGTTTTTGGACTGCAGTGTTCACTGTAGCAGACTTGAAATGCATTTCTGAGCTGCTGCTTGTATTCAGATATAATATTAAGTTGGATCACAACTCTTGTTTTTCACCTTAGTTGAGGCTGATCGAGAGAAGGGCTTTCACCTGGACATTGAAGATTATCTCTCTGGCATTTTAACTTTTGCCAGTGAGCTGGTAAGTATAAGATTGACCAAGCATGGTAGCTGAACTGAAGCAAGTAGCAGGTGCCCTGTTTTTCAGGCCCTATGCTTGGGGAGAATAAAGATTACAATGAATGATGCTTGGCATTGAGCCACCAAATAACAGGCCTTTCCAGTCACTAGGCAATACTGAGGTTCACTCTAGGACAGTGATTCTTAGCCATGGTGTCACAAAATCCTTTCAAGGGTGCTGTGGGGTGCCACACAATGTTAGCATTGTTAGGTGTGCAAATGTGATTCACAAGATAAACCCACAGCTTGCAAATAGGAATCCAGTGTCAAAAACATTTTGACCTGTTGTGGTCTTTCTAAGTTCTTTGCAACAGAAGAATTGTTCTAGTATTTTTCTCCAGTCAACAATGAGTGGAAACTGTGAGCTGACATTTTTCAAGGGGTGCCCTGAGTCTACAGAAAGTTTCTTGAGAATGTCACAGGCCTTGAGTCTAAAAATGTTGAGAACCACTGCTCTAGGATATATATAGATGCAACAGTTTATATTAGTATCTTTTGATATCACTGCAGACTGTTGTCATAGATCTGCATGATTCAAGTTTAGTACAACTGTTACAACAACTTTCATGTTGTTCTTTCAGGGTCGGTGTTATGGCAGTTTAGCTCATTTCTCTTGCTGCAGGATTATATGGGTACAACCGTTTTATCTTAGCAGTGGCAGCTGCTCCTTCTTCACTTTTAAATGAAAGGTTTGCCTGAACCCCTAGCTGCTAACAGAGGAAAGAAGAACTGGAATTGATTAATTTTATCTAGTGCCTACTTCTGGTTAACCCTGCAAATTTAAAACAGTGCCTTGTCTGTAAGGTGGGACTCTGGTTAGAGATGGGAGTGTAACTAGGCTGAGTATGTGGCACAGCTGCTTCACATGGTGGAGTAACGGATAGGAACAGTGTGTGTTGGCTTTAGGGACAGATTGCAGTAGACGAGCCCAGGATCCACGTGCTGCCAGAGTTACCATTCTCTGATGCCATCATGTGTGATTTCTTCCTGCAGTCTCGGCTGGCAGTGAATAGCGTCACAGCCGGCGATTATTCTCGTCCTCTCCGAATCTCCACATTTATCAACGAGCTGGATTCTGGCTTCCGTCTCCTCAACCTCAAGAATGACTCGTTGAGGAAACGCTATGATGGCCTGAAGTACGACGTGAAGAAGATTGAAGAAGTGGTGTATGATCTGTCAATCCGGGGACTCAACAAGGAGACGAGTGGTGCAGGTGGAGAAAAATAGAAGCTGCTTGTCTCGGCAGCACCATTGATTACCTCAGATGGTTGCCAATGAGGGAGGGGTGCTAGCAAAGCTCTCCTGCTTAGTTTAGAAAAACTACAAGTTGAAAACTGCTCTCTATTTTCTTAAGAAATGTGTAGTACAGGTGTTAGACCTTGAACCATTTTGTACCACCCTGTCTCGGTAAAGGCAGCAGGCTTTCTGTGAAGTTACTCTGTCGTAATTCCACGTGGATGTCCTGTGAACCTTAGCCATAACTGTTGATAACTTCCTTCAGTACGGTTTCCTACTTAGCATTACTCCTGCTGCCCTGATGTATTGTTCTGCTTCTGTTTTCTGTGCCCATGCATCCTCAGTGGTGCGTGTGGCATGCAGCTTAGTGCAGATACAGGTGGCATTTTAAGAGCCACAATGTGTATATACCTAGATCTCTTTTTAAGATACTGAACTTTAACAACCTTTAAAAAAAAAAAAAAAAAAA